TTTCTGTGTCTTGAAGTAGGTATTGGCCACATTATTAGTCACCACTGTAAACTTGGTACCCAACAGATAGTGCTTCTATGCGTCAAGACAATGTATCACTGCAGTCATCTCCTTCTCGTGAGTTGTATACCTCTGTTCAGCATCCTTAAGCTTCCTGCTTTCAAAGGCATATGGGTGTCCTTCTTGGACTAGGACCCTACCAATTGCTCTGTCAGAGGCATCAGTATGCACTTCAAATAGCAAACCAAAGTCAGGCAGTCTCAAGACCGGTTCTGTAGACACTGTCTGCTTAAGCATCTCAAAAGCTTTGTGGCACTCCTCAGACCAAACCCACTGTTTGTCCTTCTTCAGCAAGTCTGTTAAAGGACTGACCTTCTTGGAATACCCATTTATAAACTTTCTGTAGTAGTTTGCTAACCCTAAAAAAGATCTCAACTCTGTCACTTTGGTAGGTGTAGACCAATCAAGGATGGTTTTCACCTTTCTCTCATCCATTCTGACATGGCTTTTATTGATCCAATGTCCCAAAAACATCACTTCTTGGCAACAAAACTCACACATCTCCTTTTTGACATATAACTGAAACTCCTTCAGTTTTGAGAAAACCAATCTCAAGTGTTTTAAGTGATCTTTCAATGACTCACTATAGACTACAATGTCATCCAAATAAATAACAACAAAACGATCAATGTAGTCATAAAACACATTATTCATTAAGTTGCAGAAGGTTGCCGGGGCATTAGTTAGTCCAAACGGCATTACAAGAAATTCATAAGACCCATAACGAGTTACGCATGCAGTTTTTGGTTCATCTCCTTCTGCTATACGCACCTGCCAGTAGCCTGCACATAAATCCAGCTTAGTAAAGTAGGATGCCCTTGACAACCTGTCAAATAAATCTGCGGCATTGGGCACTGGGTACTTGTTCTTCACAGTCACCTTATTCAGAGCCCTATAGCCCACACACATCCGCATTGAGCCATCCTGTTTCTTCTGGAACAACACTGGCGCGCCATACGGTGCCTTAGATGGTTGAATATAACCAGACTCCAGTAACTCATCCAACTGTCTACGCAGTTCAGCCAATTCTGAAGGCGCCATCCGGTATGGGGCCTGAGCAGGAGCCCTAGCACCCGGCTCCAACTCTATCTTGTGATCAATAGCACGTCGAAGGGGCAATTGCTTGGGTAGTTCTGGTGGCATCACTTCTGCAAATTCCTCTAAAATTTTAGCAACAGAATCCGGAACTTCAACAAATTGGTCCGGTTTGATCTCTATCATAGCTGCAAGAAAGGTAGAGTCTCCCCTCTCCAAACCTGTTTTCACTTGTAATGCAGAGATTATTTCGATGCAGCCATATTTACGATCTTCCTTCTTTTGGTGCCCATAAAGAGCCACTGATGGAATAAAACATAGACAATTCCTGTCCCAAATAAAAACTCCTCCCAAATATGGCACAACTACCACTCTGGCTTTCGTAAGGAACTCAATTCCAAGAATTAGATCAAAATCATCTAAGGGTACAGCCATAAGACTAACTACGCCCTCCCAACAACCAACTTTCATAGAAGTGGTGGCCATGCCTAAGACAAGCTTGGCTTTAGAATTCACAGCTTTCATCTTATTAGCATGTGGAATTAACTTTAAATTAAAGTTACTTACTTCCCTCTGCGCAATGAAGTTATGAGTGGCCCCTGTGTCCACCATTGCCAAAACTTCCTTACCATTCAGCGTCACCTGAATGAACATGAGCCCTTTCAACTCCATGGACTGTTCTTCAGTAAGAGCATTCAGCATTTGCAGAGGATTAACTCGGGTTGGACCACATTCCGAGTCCGAGTCTCCTTTTGAATCAGCGACAATAGCACTCAGCTTCTCCCTCTTGGGGCAGTCCCTAACACGATGGGGACCATTGCAGATGAAACAACCGTAGTTGGGCTTAGTCCCACTACTACTCCCTTTGTTATTGTAATCTGCCTTGGCCTTGACAAAGCCACCGCCTTTATCCTTCTTTTGATTCTTGTCCTTCTTCTTGCCCTTGAACCTGAAGGACTGGCCTTTGTCTTTCTTCCCCTCCTTGGACTTCTTCTTGTCTTGTGTAGTAGACCCAGTCATCTTGAAATCTACAAGACAATCTGCCGCTGTCATGGCAGTAGGAAGGTCCCTCACACCTTGCCTACAGAGTTCTGCCTGAGCCCATGGTTGCAATCCGGACATGAAATTGAACAGCTTGTCCTCCTCTGACATATTTCGAATGTCCAGCATCAAGGAACTAAAGTCCTTCACATAGTCACGAACGGTGCCTGTGTGCTTCAATTTCTTCAGAGATTCCCTTGCAATCCATGCAGTGTTCTGAGGCAAGAACTGGTCCTTCAATTCCTTCTTAAGGGTCTCCCAAACTTCAATCCGAGGCCTACCCGCAGAAGCATCGTCCTCTGTCTGTGTGCGCCACCATAGTTTTGCATCACCAGACAGATCCATGCTTGTAATGGTCACCTTCTCGCCATCGGGGATCCGAGCAGCCTTGAAGTACTGCTCCATGTCCCATAGGAAATTCTCCAACTCTTTGGCATTTCGAGTACCACTGAAAGACTTAGGATCCGGCACTTTGATCTTCTGTGAAAGAGGATCACCACCGCCTCTGGAACTCCCATAAATGGCCCTCTTCACCAAGGACACTTAATCTTTAAGGTCTTTCAGGTTCTTTTTGAAGACGTCAGTCAGCAACTCAATATCTTCAGAGATAGGGGTCAATTGCTCTTTGGTGGCCTGCATGAAGTCACCAAACCCATCAGGATCAGTCTTCAAGATCTCCACTTCAGAAGCCAAGTTTTCGATTCGAACCACAAGGCTCTCTGCACCATTTTGTACCTCTGTTTCTGTAGGAAAACCCACAAACTCTTCCAAACGGGAAACTCTCTCACGAGTATTGCCTCCAGCCATCGTAGAACAGGGCTCTGATACCAATTGTTACAGGGCTAAATCACACCACAAATTTTTGCCTCTGTAATGGCACTTGGGGCCACCAAGTCTCAGCCAACACACAACACAATACCCACAATATAGAAATGTAAAGAAGGCACACACAGTTTATAGGGACAAGCCCCAACCTTTGCTCATATTAAACATATTACAAAGGAATATGAGTTCGTACAAGGAACCAAGGCTCACACCCTCCTATCTATTCCCTCTACAAAGCCCACCTTAGCATTATATAGGCCACTCTCAAAACCGCCCATAACTGCCCACTAAAATGATGGATGACACTCCCATCCACCTAGGGTCGTGCTGGCACCCTCTAAGTATGCCAGCACTACAATGCAGTTGACAAGCCTAACTGCTATGTAGTTGGCATGCTCTGCTCATGCCACATATCCCACAAGAAGTTATACTCTGCATAGTGGAAGAAACCACCTCCAACCGCTTGCTTGTTGTCATCTCAGATTTGTGCCACCTGCATGGGAAGTTAATCAGCACACCCCCACTTCCCATAATAAGTGGAGAAGTGCTAGTAACTTCCCCCAACCAACTGAGCCCACTTAAGCCACTTAGCCATCTCTTGTAACCCCAAGCCATGACTTGTGTGGTCCATATTTTAGCAACATTTGAGCCAACCTTGTGAACCTAGCCCTTGCCAAGTCCACCATTCTGCACCCACATGTCTCTAAGTGCACGGCGTGCCATGCCATGCATGCCCGAGTGCAAATCCGAGTGCACGTCGGTGCGCACGTTGATGCCAGGCCATGCACGCCTGTGTGCACGCCCATAAGCGCGCTGCTGCACTCCGGTGCATACACTAGTGCCCATCCATGTGTGCCGTACTCGAACCCTCGTGTGCCCATGGCTACATGCCCACCTGGACGCCCGCGTGCACGCGGGGCTGCACGCCCGTGCGCGCGGGTGCACACTTGTTTGCCCATCATTAGTTTATATGCTCCTCTCTTGTGCAACTATCTTGGAGTGGTGCAAACACGTGCCCATGCACGTTGGCTAAACCCTCTAAGCAAGCCATGCCATAGCCCAACTGATGTGCTCAACAGACCCCCCCTAGTATAGTCTTAAGGAAAATCAGCACTCTGATAGGAGTAAACATCACCCATGCTTGAGGAGTCATAAAGGCCTTTCAGACCCTTCCCGACATCTAAATCGAGTGCCGTCTGCGCCAACCAACTTCTATGGACTCAAGGTACCTCCCATAAAGATCCCGAGTCAAAACTCCAAGTTTCACTTTTCCCCATATTTACGAAAATGCCACTGGGCACCCCCAGTGCACGCCGAGCATCATTTTAAGCATCTTGTGTGCACACTGAGCATCTTGTGCACGTTGACAACCCACTGAGCATCCTCATGGCTGTCTAACCAAAGCCAAAGTATTCCCAAAACATGTCATGGCCTTGAAATGCCCATGTCTTCCCTTGGACAACCGTCAAGGGACTAACAGAAGGGTATATTTGGAAATTCATTCCCTACTACTATAATAAAAAAATATTTAAAACTAGTAAGCTAAAAAGTTAGGATTCCAAGAGGGGGCTTTTTTTTGGGACAGGGAGTATATGATAGGTATTTTATAATTTATATACTATATTTGTATTAAATATTTTAGTATTATACATAACTATTATATTATAATTAATTTATAATGTTACAATATAATATATATTTTAGTACATATTATGTATCACATAGTAATGTTATATTATATATGTGGATGCATCTAAATCGATAATATTACAAAAAATAATACATTGACTACACTTATTTTGAGACGAGTAAAATATTATTTTAATTCTCTGATGGAATGAAATGGCCATTAGAATGATCATTTTTTTTGTTGCTGCCAACAAAAACATGGGAAAGGGAATAAAACATTGAAAGAGTCATTCCACTGCAGAAAGTTGAAGTTTTCATTTTTCATTGACTGAATCATATCATCTCTACACAAAGTTGGGCCACATACACCAACTACAGAGAAGAAATAAATCAATAAATAGAAGATAAACCTTTCAGTATAAAACAAGTAAAGAAACAGAGCAAAACCTTTCAGTCTAAAACAAATAAAGAAACAGAGCAAAAGAACGAAGCTACAAAAGACAAAAATCTCATTATGCATTGTTAGAACTGATGGAGAAACCAATAATAGAACCTACATAAAAAATAAAAAATAAAAAAGTTAATAAAACTTATCTCCTCAAAAGAAGAAAAGCAAGAAAGGAAAGAAGAGAAACAGAGAGATGGATTTTCTTCTTTCAAAGATTGAAGTAATTGTAAGTGGATTGTTAATTGGATTGATTGGGTTGTGCAGTGTTGTGAGAAGCATTCCAAACACCAATGTGTCAACCTTTTTGTGCAACTCCGGGATCTACACAAAAGGGGATCCTTTCGCTACTAGTCTAGCTTATGTTGTTGCAGAATTAGAGACTGTGACGCCCACTCGCCAAGGTTTTGACTACCACAATATTTCTCCTTACCCTAATGCTTTTGCCTATGGTCATGCTGCTTGTAACCAGAACCTTACAAGCTCCGATTGCAACACCTGTCTTGGTGCCGCCAAAACCGCCATGTTCGGGACTTGTGACAGTCGGATCGGGGCTCGATCTGTGCTCTATGATTGTACAATTAGGTATGAGCAGTATCCATTTGATGATTAAATATTGTTGGCATGTTTTTGGGAACTGTGTGATCTACCTCAAATTAATAATGTGAGCAACCTTATCCACTTCAGTCTTTCTGTTTCTATTCTATCTCGTACTGTTTTCGCCTCACATCCCTAATTTAATTTCTTTCAGATTTTGCAATTCTTCGTTCTGATCTGATTGTCAACCAATATAAAGGGTTTATTGGAAAAGAAACGAATCAAAAATGAAAACTGGTGTTATTGAAAAAGTAATTGCAGGTTGTAATCAAATGATTAATCGATCGACATGGGAATTGTTCATCGACTTACCTTTCTGTCTCGTCTATCCATGATCATAGGGCCAATTCCAGCTGTCAAACTGCACAGTCAATCAAATCAATTACTAACAAAAGCAATTGGAAAAGAAACGCAAAAAAATATAAATAAATAAATTAAATTAAATCAAAGTAATATATATATATATATATATATATATATATATATATATTATTATTGCACATACATGCCGTAGACTCCATGGATACCAGCAGCTATACCTATCCATTCTCATTTATCCAAATTATATGTAAGCTACTGATGAACGAAAGTTCTTCTATCGGAAGATGATTTGAATAGCAAGTTTGCTGATTTGGGTCTCTATTGTGCCCCGCTCTTGAGGAGAAATTATGTTATTACATGACCTCAATTACCACCTATGGGGACCAATGATCCAGGAACATGTAATAGCCGTGACTCTTTAATTTTAAGAAAAATTTAAAAGAGATTTTTATGTGAATGTATTAACATCTATTTTAGCTACCAAATAAAGCAGTACTACTGTACTCTATCCGGTCAAGACAATTTACAAAGCTTTATGGGATTATGTACATACCTAGCAAGTAGCAACTGACATGGTTATTTATGTAAGGGCCTATTACATTCTTTGTTCCACTCTTAGTTATTCAACTTGTTATATCGGCAATTGTGTAAATTATATACAATAGAGAACACAAGAAGAAATGGTAACATTTTGTAAAATCAAGACAATAACATTAATTTTTTTTATCTAACAATCCTTCTTAAGGCACCTGAACCAACCGGGAGTTTAACTAAAAAAGAGAGTTTCAGCGAGAACTTGTGAACAGGTTTGAATCATCACTAATGGATTTCATTTATCAATTCAATTTCAGATATTGTGCTGATATTGTGCTGGACCTCCGGGGAGGATTCTTGTCCATGCAACATAGGTGTTATGGCAACAACAATAAGAAATTCAATTCTCCCTGTTCCACACAAAATTCAGCCGTTCATAAATATAATTATAGACAAAAAAGAACATATGGCAATATCTTTCCAATCTTTCTTCATATACAAAATACAGTAGACAAATGTCCAATAATGCTACAAGTATAATTTTCTCTCTATTTTTTTTTTTTTTTTAACTCAATTTTCTCTCTATTGATGAATGGCAATATCTTACAATTACTATCTAATATTTGTGTGTATATCTCCTGTTAACTATCAATTTGCACTAGGAACCAATAATTTAACAACCTAAATACCATCCATATTGGCATCTGGTGACAATTTAAATTCGGCTGCCAAGACTTTCCCCAGCATCCCTCCAACATTTCCAACTTCTCAAGATCTGGCTCCTCTCCGTCTATGCATCTCAAGATCATCAGTTGATCAATCGATGCGAGACACGTCATCGTAGAAACGGACAACTATATTCACCAAGTTGAACAAGTTTTAACCTTGTTTACGTCAAAACATGTATAATGATGTATGAAGAATTATCAATCATATGAAGAACCAGAGATGCAATGACCGGATAAGAGCCAGCACAAGCATATCCCTTCTGTGAGAATGAATAGAAAAAAGTCGGCATGTGTTGGTTCTAGGTGAGATGCAAACTTTCCCACAGAGTTCTTCAAGATGCTGATGTAGTTAGAAAGGTTTCTATGCGAATCAGAGTGTGGCTTGAGAAGGTTTTGTTGAATTTCGTGGGCGAATGTGCTCCCATTTGAGGAAGAGTGCATACAGAAGCTCGTTCCATGAATCAGGGACACCAGGCAAACACCAGTGGCTACAGTCTTGCCGGTGGAAAGGAGCAAGTCCCTCATTGGGTCCTAAATAATACAAGGATGAGTGGCCATCTTTCCTCCGTGATGTCATATATGTCACATTCAATAAATCCACTTTCCCCTCTTCTGCTGCCTTAGAGAAATTTGATAACACATCAATGACAATCGGTAATTGAACCCATGTTTCGGATGAAACCAGAGATGAACCCAAGTCAGGGAGCGTCTCCAGGTGACAACTACCACCAGTCTTCCAGTCACCACCACTGTTAAATCCACTGGCTATATCAATTATTATGAATATTATTAAAATAACAAGATAATTGCATTATATGACCATACTGAAACACAATTGTTACCCATCCACGATATAATAAGCAAGAGAATTTTTTACATGACCAGATGAACAATTTGGCTGCTATTAACAAGTTCAGGTCTCTTGATTGATTTTGTTTTTCTACTATAATAATATTTTTTTAGCAACGTGATAAACTTAAAAAGAAGGATGCAGGTTGATACAGTCACAACTCACAAGGGGACAATGTTATGTTTGTAATTTACCCTTTTTGAGTCTACCATTAGGAGGGGTTTCACTCAGCATCTTTAGAAAGATATAACAAAGTTGCATTCAGGAATTATAAAGCAGTTGAAATACTTCAGAACTAAAATTAATCATGAAAATGCCAGTATTGACTCAGTCTCTCAAATATTACTAATGATCAACATCGCATATACTTGGGTACCTGTGAGGCTCAAGTATATGTCTACGAGTCTATTTATCAAACCCCAAACCTAGGACACAAGGAGACTACTTAATATGCATAGTTTTGGTTTATATATATATATAGAAAAATGGAGCTTTAATATAACGTAGATTGTTCAACATGTGCACTTCACAAATTCTGAAACAATAATTATACAAAAGCAACATAATAACAATAGTCAAATATCTAATAATAAAATAACTTATATTATTAGATAATACTTGTTAGGTGCATATTAAGTTATTAACCAAACACATCAGACAGTGAGACAGATATCACATACTTATACCCAAGTTTCATGTAATTATCACAGATACTTCCTGCATTTCAAGAAGTCCATGTAAGTTCATGAATGAAATGACGAACAAATTTAGAGAACGATTAATACGTCTTCACACCAAAATTATGAGGACAATTTTTCTTTTTGACAAATGAGGTTATTTAGGAATTTCACGGATACCTCTCAAAATACAGCAGAAAAAATTAAATTAATAAATAAATGTTCAAGATAGAAAATTGCATTTTTATTCCCAAGATTTACAAATATATTTCAGGAATTTCACGAATACATCTCAATATATTCACCATATTAATGATAACTAATAATGATTGGCAAAAAAATTAAAATAAGATTCAGGAATTTTCACTAGAGAATTCAGATGAAATGTTAATAAGCGTTTGTGTAGTAAATAGAAAAAACTATTAAGTTCCTTGAGAGGTCTCACTACACAACTATAAAACATAGCAGCAGAGGACTGAAACTTAGAGGTTGAAAGTTGAAAACACACAAAGTCCAGTATAACAGAGAACAACAAGGCCAAAGTGCTCCCTCCATCACACAAAGATTGGCCATTACAATTAATCTCTATCCCATTATAATTGTCCACTGTAAAAAGTAAAAACGTAAACTTTTTTACTTTCTCCCCTTATCCCTTGTGAAAAGAATAATTTGTCCCAAATTCTAACACCAAATAAGAGAAGTATTATATTCAAGAAAAATATTTTTAATAGGTGAAATCAAGGAACAAAATTTTGTTTGGTAATACCGTAATACCATTTTGGTTGGATTGGAATTGGAAATGCCCCCGAATCAATTAAAAAATGTAATGGTATGATGAACTAATTTAGAAACAAATTTTGTTTAGGAATGCTATTTTGGTCGGCTTGAATATGGAAATATTCCGTAAATATTTCAAAAACACAATGCAATAAGGGAAAATTAAATGTCAGTGACCAAAATTAGAAAAAAAATAGGTTAAAGTGACCTTAAAATTAAAAAGAGATTAATAGTCATCAATCTTGATACCAAATTGCTTTATAGTGACCATTTGAGGGTAATTTTGTCAAGGGTTTTATTTAGTTACTAAAAATAATTAATTAATTTAACATATCAAACCTAATACTTCTCACGTTGGATCTAATGTACAAGTGGAAACTATAGCCATAATTAAACCCCCAACTTTTCATTCTTAGAATTTATAAATATATATGTATTAAAGGTTAGGGCTCTGATTGTATTTTATGGAGATAAACAGATTAAGCCGATGCTATCTCACGTTTAAACCAATCTTCACTGTCTATTCACTGTCTCCGGTTACAACACAGAGTCTAAAAAATCCACCATTTTATAAGGTTGAATTCAACAAGAGCAAGTCAAGTATGGATAAGTACTAGATGAGGGAAACTTACAAAGAAAAGAATAATGACTTTGAATATATATAAGGTATAAGCAAGGGATATGGTATCTGAAAGGGATAAGTTGCCGTCGTTTTCAGTGGGGGAAGGGAGAGATGGGGTAGAAGCTTGGAGGGAAATTTCAAAAAGGGTGTATATGTAATTGAGTTTAAAACGGTCACTGAAAAGGAATACAGTTTTAGGATTGATAATTATCCAGTCTTTTTGTAACTTTAAGTCCTCTTTAAAACTATTATCTTTAATTTTGGTAACTTAAATCTAATTTTCTCATAAAATAATGACCAAATTTAGCAACATGCAAAACATTTGGAGACGTAAAGTAGATTTATTAACGAGAGAAGGTAAGCCAAATAATTGATCAACACAGCTGTTACAAGAGGACAGATACAAGCAAAAAAATTAAGTCAAACAACACTTTACTAACAAAAAACAAGTATAAGAGATTCTAAAATTGATCTTATAGTGTAACAACGAATTATTATAATAAACTATGACATACATGAACCATAAAACAGACAAAGAAAAACATTTTTCACACATTAATATTTAACAAGTTAATCGGTAATAATTAGGAACTAAACAATAACATAAAGTTTCCCTTCACATCATTTCTCCTTCTTCTGTTTCTGTTATTTCTGATAGATTCCAAAGAATTTTTTCTTTTCTTTTCTTAATATTTTTGGGTTTCAATGGTTGAATCTCCCCCCACCCCCCACCAAAAAAATAATTTAATAAATAAATAAAATAAAAATAAGAAAAAAATGGATATTGCCTTTTACAAGTCTTCAACAATGCATGAATTACAAGGTTCAACCTTTCAATATGTTTTTGTTCATTCGGTATCAATTTCTATCTGTTTTTCACTGCGGTTCACTAAGAAATGCAAATGTTTCAACTGCTTCGACAGAAACAGATGAACATTTTGATCCTTGAATAAGATGCATCCTTAGACTATGTACTTTCACACACACACACACACATATATATATAGAGGCCAAATTGGCCAATATTTGTAAGGCAAAGAGAGAAAAATACATAGACAAGACTATCAAAATATAAAATGACAAGACAAACCTGAAATGCACTGGAGCATAGCTTCGAAATAAGACCTGGGTCTCGTTCATCTTTATTTCAGTACTTATCCAGTTCAGCAGCGTCTCGATTGCCGTCCGATATGCACGTTCTACACTCATCTTCATCTTCACCTCCTCCCCTTCTTGGAAGTAAGTACCCCTAACAAGGGACAGTAATCCAGAGTTCAGGCACAATGTTGGTTAGGTTAACCCAACATTAGCTTCCTAAAAAACATCAAGTGTAGTTGGTTTCAAGAGGGACACGTTAAGTTGTCCTCGATGTAAATTAATCACACACTATTACAGTTTGTACATTTACAATATCTCAATTGCTAAAGCAACAAAAAGCCACGGCAACTAATTCCTTTAGAAAAGGTAAGAGATGGAGTATGGTGCCTATAGAGTAGATTATGGAAACAGCCAGGTCAAGCAGAAGCATGAGAGAGGGAACTACCTGATCCCCTTTCCCTAGGGAATTGGGAACATAATCCATATATAACTATTAGGTGGTCAATTGTCTGCTCAGAATATTAAGGTAAGAGTCACTAGAGGGCCAAAAACTTCATATACGAACAATAAATTTTTCCTTGCTAAAAAATAAAATTTCAAACACTGGAGCTTCTTCATCCACGTGCTTTCAAGGATAGAATAAATGATCATCGAGTATCTGAAATTAAGAATCTATTTTTAACTTATGTGTGCGACCAAGATATTGTCGTACATGTCTATGAGTACACCAGAAGTGTCATGTCAGAGTACGGTACATCCCCAACAAAGACATGGCTGATTTTATTTCAAAGGGGGCACAATGCACTTGTTAATTTTTTTTTTTATTAATAAATATGACAATATAATTTTTTTAAAATCAAAAAGGCAAATAAGAAAAAAAATAGATGTAAAATAATATGCTAAATAAATACAGTAAAAAAAATATAGTTACAAATATAAGAATCAAAATATTAATTAATAATATTTTAATTAAATACAATCACAAATGTCATCGATAAAAAGAAATAAGTTTTAAAAAATAGAAAAATACATAAATTATACATAAGTGAAAAAAGAAATTTTTTGAAAAAGGAAACAAAAATTAGAAAAGGAAAAATATATTGTATATTTGAAGAAGGTATGTAATTTTTTTTTTTAAAAGAATTTGAAAATTTGATAGGGGGCACTATTTAAAATTACCATGTAAGTATATATATATACCAAAAATATGTACCTATGTATAGTAGGTTGGAGCAAAGTGAGGGGGCGCACGTGCCCCCTCTGGGCCTTAATTGGCTCCGCCCTTGGCTCCTTAGAAATGGGTATGTCCTTGGGCCGAAAACTATTGATGGCCAGAACATTTGCTATTAGAGAATATTCTAATGAACCCAGTGTTGATACAAGGGATGCTATGAATTAAAACTTCCACTTGAATTTTGAGCATAATCATATATCGGAACATTAGCTACTTGATGAGCTTTCCTGGGAAGACAGGGAGTAAAGAAATACACCACTCGCAAGAATGGATTCTTCTGAATTTAAAGCCTTGAACTTAAGTAAATATCAGGACAAACCACCCTCAATCAGAGAGCAAAGCTGAATCCCAAATATGATCAAAGAATTAAGTCTCTTCTTAAAGGTTTTATACATGTATGTTGTGGCCTCCTCTTCCCATCCTAGCTCATATGAATCAATAAAATAGTGTGAATTATTGACCTATATACACGATTACACTCTGATTCTGTGCTCACACACCAATATTTAGCTACTCCAAGGCATTCCTAAAGCATTCATTTGACATTTATTTAGGCATAAAATTAAGAAACACTTATGATTATGGTGTTCTCATTTTATTTCCTAATACTTTTCTAAAGCAAACAATGAATCAAAATGATTCTCTTAGCAGATTACTTTCTTCTTTCTTGCCCTAATTAGAAATTTAATGTAGTATTAACCGGTTTGAAGTTTTACATTCACATAAAGCAAGACAAGCACATCTCTACCTAAGCCACTTCGCTACAATTACATCTTTTTTCTCAATTTCTCCTCTCTATCTAATCAAACAAAGAAATTAGAAAGGTTGTTCAAGGTGCATCCATGTCTTAAACTTACTACCCTATGTTGAGCTTGATCTGTTAGTTATATTACATTACAGGTATAACGTGCTGTAACTTGAATTTGTACCATCATTTTTCCAGCCTTTTGTTTACTTTTTCACCAAATGAATATAGATCACACCAATAATCTCAGTTTTATTGAGTTTTTTTCATCCATTAAAATTTAATGAAACAAGATACGTAACTAAGCTGGTTACTGATTTGTATTTATAGCAGTCGAAACTAACAACTCATCACTTTTTATATCTGTCATTGTTACCACCCCATCAAAATTGCTATCATCGAGGCCAATACCACTCCACAAAGTTAGCTTTGAAACTTTACCCCAAGGGTTCTCCATACTGATGGAGAACACATGAATACCCCTTCTCTCCCAACTAACAAACCACCCTAAGTCTTAAACTCCTTAAATGGTTAAAACAACTAAAGTACCCTAAAGAACTTCTGCATTCATCTTCAACTTGCATCCTACTACACTTCCACCAAAGAGAAAAATATCTGATCTGTTTCCACTAAACCCAAACCAGTATTCACAAGACCTGGTTAGCTTCTACATCATATTTCAGGACATCTAATCACATTATTTGACACTAGACAATACCAGAAGGCATTGCATCCATAAAACACATACTAGAACCTCCTTCTTCTTCCCACCAAACAAATGCATTCACAATGTTTGTGTAATGGAGAGAAATGAATCCAACGACAATAAACATATAAACAAATTGGCAATAAAGATTTTCAGGGGAAGATTGCATTTACCCTCTAATGGTCTTCTCATAATTCCACCAGTGTCCCGTGTTGAAAACCAGCACATCTGCACCTTTCCACTGCACAGAGCTCCAATCCAATTGATCCAGCTTCAAAGTAGTCTTCACCTTTTCTGGAGCTCCAGCTAGAGGCCGACTCAGCAGCACTAAAAATGGAGCTCTGTAGTACTCGACAGTGCAATTGAAATCCTCAAACTTGAACACCAAGAACCCTGTGTGTTTAGTGATTGGGCTCCCATTCACTTCGTATATTGAAGTTTTATTAGGAACCACAGAAGAGAGCATGCAGAGAAGGGACTCCCATTGGTTTCTTCCAATTGAATCACCAACAAATACAACACGACGATCCCGCAGCTTTTCCAACATATTCTTTGCATCAAATCTGTTTTCAAATTAGGATAAAATAACCCAAATAAGAAATTTATATTGTTTGCCAATCAATCGGACACATTCAAAAGTGAATTGGGATTAATGCCCAAAAATATGCAAGGAAAATGGGATTCAAAAAGGGTTGTCAAACTAGAATAATACCTATAGAAATCCCCAATTTAAAACAACAGCACTGATAATTCAAACATCTTTCAGCCAGACTTCACAAATTAATGTTCAACCAGTATGATTAATTTTCATTATTTAAAAAGAAGATTAAGCTGAACTACAACAACTTGGTAGGTATTCTGGATATAATTAAACCTTTCAAATTGATAGGCACTCGCTTCCCTAAATAATTCCCTGGAAATATACAGCAAGGCTTGCTGTTGTCAAGGTTACAATGATACACATCATCAATACACCTCTATTTCTGATTTTGTTTTTCATTTGATTAAGCAAATCTATTTAGTATTTATGGGGTGTTTTAAAGGCACAAATCTATGTGGTGTTTTATTGGCCCACTGTCACGCCACTTAGCTCTCCCTCATGTTATTTTTTATTTTTTATTTTTTATTTTGAATATTAGTTGCATAATATGCATTTCAAAACATATACTTTATTGTAGCACAATTTTGCTCCCTTCCACTTATGTCTTCCAAGTCATGGTTGTCTGCACAGCTGCACGCGTGCAAAAGCATTTTATATGCATATATTCCTTTCTTGATTTGCCATGTCATTTTAAGTACTAATTTTAACTAAGGAAGCATGAGGTGTGAACCTAATGCCTGATTCTTTTTGGAGGGCCATGCCCAGCTTTATGTTGTGACCCTCTAAAGCATTTCAAGCTTGGGTATTTGTTTTACAGTATTTTGAGGAACACCAGTTGTTGATCAAGAACAGTTTAAACCCTGCTTAGTGAGTTGTGGTCTCTGTTTTCTGATTTACATTTTCTTGTCCTCACTAGGAACTTGCGTCAATGTGGGAAAAGATGAGGCGCCGTAATATTTCCAAAGAAGATAGATCCAAGTATATATTTTGTTACAAATGCTATGTTTAGGTTTCTTCTTTTGTATCTGTTAAAAACTAAGCAATACAAATCCTTTTCTATTTACCCTAAGGATGGTGACTGTAGCCCTAGAGAAGATGAAGGGGAAGATTCCTGATATTGCAGGCTCACATGTCTCTTCTCGTGTTCTGCAGGTGATTTCTAGTTATTATTTCTTGATGTTGTCCTGAGTTTTCTGTTGTATGCAGTAACACCTGTTGTAAAAAAACATTATTGACTTAAAGAATTTTATGTAAACACACATTCAGTGTATTGAAGCTTGATAATTAAGAGTTGACACCAAAGCGAAAAGTTCATCATTGTAAATACCAGCATTTCAATCAGAAACATTAAAAAAAACAGACAGCAATCAAGCGGAAAGAAAACACCACATTCTAAAGAGTACATAATCTGAATCCGCAATGAAAATTATCTTGCTGAAAAAACTATAGATTTCAATAGAATCAGTACATACTACAGAGACATACAATAATAAACAATCTCAAAATTTTCTGCAATTATAAATTAATGTAGCTGACAACTGAAAAATTAATAACATGAAGAATATACCGATATTATCAATTACTTTCTAAAAATCAAATTCTTAATTCCATTTAAACATATATTTATAGAGAGAGAGAGAAATAGAAAGATATATTTAGAAAGTTATAAACCTGGGAAGATTGCAATCTTGAGGTTGCCAACGCCACTTGGTGTAGAAATTATCAGGCCTACCATTCTCAGAACATCGAAAGCCAGCATCAATGAACAGACAATCTTTGGACTGATACAGTGGATAACTCTCATCCCAGACCCAATTGCCATCAAAAACATCACACCCATCACCACCTTCTTCAAGAAATCCCAGCCGTCCAATATTTCCACCCGATGATGAAGTCCCGTTTAACCCGAACCACGTGATAAACCCGGGCCGCCCACCAGAGCGAAACCCTCGCGTCACAGCTCGATAATCCAAGTAAAAGAAGCAGAAAAGGAAGCAAACAGCGAGAGAGAAGAATCCAAGAACCCCCTGTGAGGGCTTCAAACGATTCCAGCGCTTGAAATTCTTGAAAACCTCCAAGTGGGTTTTTGAATTCAGGTCACAAGAAGATGTTTTCTCACTCATCTTTAGGTAAATAACCAGAAGGGTCTTTGATTTTAGAGAGAGAAAGTAAAGAGAATGGATAGAGGAGAAGAAGAACTGAAAGTGGGTCACTGGGCCTTGAGGAGATAGAATGTTGGAGTGGACTTTATATACAGATTACAGGAGGGGTGGGACTTTAGAGAGAGAGAAAGACAGAATGAGGAGCTGAGATTGGAGAGAGAGAGAGGTGTAGGGTCTGAAAGGAGGACCAAAATCATGGTAAAACCAGTTTGTACCAGAGATTTGTTTCCTGAGAGTGGTTAGTTTTAGTTTGGTTCAGCTGTTTATGTAATTGACAGATGTAAAGTGGGTGTTTTCAAAGAAGCACAAGAAAGCATTCATAGTTGGAGCTGTGTCAGTTACATACATCCCACTTTTGTTCAACACAGAAATAGAAAATAGAGATAAGGAGGAGAGAGAATTACTTCGTGTGTGAATAATTAATGAAGGATAAATATTGATTTATTACGAGATAAAGAGTTTAAAAATCATACCACCAGTTTGAACTTGAACTTCAACATCAACATAGTTAGAGAGAGAGAAAGAATCTGGGTATGATATTGGAAGGGGCAACGTGTGACTCGTGTGGCCTGATAGTGGAGGATTAGTAGGGCGAAAAAATTGCGGCCAAGAATTTGAAAACCCGACAAAAATATTGCAGTTAGTGCAGAGACAGGCGGAAGAGAAAAAAAAGGAACTGATTAAAATAATAATAATTTGATCCCTTGCTACATATAATTCCCTCTGGGACTAGAATAGGATTTTTAAAAAAAGTTGTAAGAATTTTAAATATATATATATAATACGGCGTAATATGAATTTAAAAATAAATTAATCTTATTTTTCTTATTCGACTTTAAATATTTGAGCCCTCCTGTCGATCATTTTGTATTGCGCCTCTAATGTTAAACACGTCTGCCTAATTATGTTTATTTTTTAAAAACTTGTTCAAAAGATTGGGAGAAGTATCATTTTAACATAACAACAGTTATAATTTAATTATACTTTTTAGGATAAAGTGTAAAAAAAATCCAAGTTATACCAAAAAAATTGTTAAAAACTTTCCTAATAAAAATTAAGTGTATTAAAACACCTCTGTTATCAGCAATTTTGACCAAATTTTGTAATAAAAACCCTAAAATGACCTCAATGCTTATGTAACAAAAACAAAACAAAAAAACAAAACCGGTAATTCTCTCTTATCATTGATTCTCCCCTAAATCGCCTCAAGAGAGAGACCCAACGTATCAACTACTACATTGCACCCAGATACCGATACCACTACCACAGCCACTAGGCCCACTACCAGTTCATTATATATTGGGATAAGTGTAGGAACAGTTCATTATATGTAGAAAATATTCCTAAAATATATTATGCGTAGGAACAGTTCATTATATGTAGAAAATATTCCTAAAATATATTATGCGTAGTATTTTTACTTTTTATTTTAAAAAAGTATGTAAAAAATATTCATAATCTTTTTATCTTGTGTAAAAATACCTATGTCACATAAATTAGTATTGTAATACATTTTTTGTCCTTTTACCTTTCTGAAAATGCCCAAGAGAGTTTATATGTTACTAATCTTATAGAGTATGGGTGTTATATAGGCATTACCTTATGTTTTTTGTGTTAAACTTTTTTCTCTATGTATATTTTTCGTTTTTATTTTTTAAACTTTGAGAATTTGTATAACACGGATTTAAATTTTTTGAGTTTTCAATTTATTGTCTTCTAAAAATAAAAAAAATAAAAAAAATTTTTATTATTATTATTTTTTCGGTGCCAACATTGTTGAACAAATAAATAAATAAATAAATAAATTCCAATATCACTGTGCACTTGTTTTTGAAGTTTAGAAAGATTTGTTTTAGGAAAATGACTTGCACCGATTATTCAGACCCAAAACTTAAGTCAATAGTGATGTGTCACTATAGTTGTACTACACCTAGAAAGATAAAATTTTACAGACAAGACTATTCTTACATAATCTCAATTACCAATAATATCTCTCATCATCCATCTCTATACCATAATCAAACCATTTTTTATTTTCTTCTCTCACCCTTTTCTCCATTGTCATCATTGATTCCCGATACACAAATATATCACTTTACAATACTTGGTGAGTAGGGTTTTCGATTGACGAGCCAAATTCAGTCTATTATTGGTTTTCCTGCATAAAAGTATTGATCATGGCAGAGTCAGAATTTTAAGGGGTGTAGTGTACTTTATTAAAAAAGAAAAAGAAAAAAAAATCAACTTCCTCATGCTTTTCAATAATTTAATTGTCCTTAGTCGCTTTAACAATGCACCATAGTCTTAATAAAAATAGTGACAATCATAAATCAATTTTTTAAGAAATGTATTGAAACTAACAATGCAACAAGATACAAATCCAAACTATAGAAGTGTACCTTTCCAAAAAAAAAAAAATGTTTAAGAAAAGTAAAGGAAAAACAAAGAAAAAAGAAAGAAATTTGAAAGGAAAACAGAATTAGGATTTAACTAAAAAAAAAGGGAATATAACAATTTTTTTTTTTTTCTAATAAGGAATCAAAATAATTTAAAAAGTACAAGAAAATTTTATCATATATTTTTAAAATTTTAGGGTGGGCATTTTCTAACATTTCTATAATTTTTTTGTATATTCTTATACATCTATCTATATAATTTTGCATATTCTTAAATATCTATGTGTGTGTGTGTGTGTGTATATATATATATAAAGGAGAGGGAGAGTGTTTTGATAAAATTTTAAAAACAAAGTTATGGGGATTGAATTGCAAATCTATTTAGAGAGAGATATAGTGGTATGATAAAATGATAAAATTTATAAAACAAATTTAAGAGATTTTTAATTACAGTTATTTTTTAAATGAGAATTTCAGTTAAGTAATCATAAAAAAAGGTAGGATGGATACGAGAAGGCAATATAAGTGTAATTATGTCTTTGAAAATTTGTGTTGTTTTAATGGACATACTAGTGGGACCATATGATTTTCATAGTAATTTCTCTTTTTGTGCCACGTAGATTCTATCTAACAAATCGATCTAATCTTTTTGCCTGAATTTCACGACTCTTTATTTTATTTAGTTTGCACTTTATTTTTGTTTTTTATATTCTATTTTAATCTTTACTTTTCTTTTATACTTTTATTTTTATGTTTACTTGTCCATTGACGCCGTTCTCCAATAGTATCATTTTCAGTCATTGTACAAAATTATTTATTTTTATATATTCTATAAAATGGTTCGATAAGGGTAATTTAGTCAACTTAGGATTTTAATTTGTCAGAGGGACCTATTTGTACCAAATTGAAACTTTAGGGGTGTTATTTGCACGTGAGGATGTCCTCTAATAGCGTTATTTTTGATCATTTTATAAAATTATTTATTTTCATATATTTTATAAAATAATTAAGTAAGGGTAATTTAGTCAACTTATGCTTTAAATTTGTCAAATGGATCTATTGTCTTTGCACAAGAGTAATAATAGTCAACACGAAAGAGAAAATACGAAAACTCCCCAATCTTACCTGGCAAGGCCACGTAAGAGTTAAAAAAGAAAGAATGCTCTCTTATATGGTATAATTGAAAAAAAAAAAAAATGAAAAAAAATAACTATTCAAAATTGGTGGGAGAGAACAAAAGAAAATAATCACAAACGTGAAATTACTTCCTTCCATATTTCTAAATTCACAAAAATAAAAAATTTATAAAACTATGATATATCAAATCATTTTAAGAGTAAGTCCAAACTTCTTTTATTATTGATTTAAGTAAAACAAATACAGTATTTGATAAGAACTCATGGACTCAAAATATATACATACATTTAATTATGAGTGTTAAGATCTTCATTAATTTATACTTTATTATGTATTACACTTTATTATGTATTACGATTTATGACTATAGTAATAATTTGTTCATTTATACTCAGTTTAGTCCGTTATGTATTGAAATTTAAAATTTTAGTAATGAAGAAGAGAAAGAGTTTTTAATTTCTGATTTGTGAAGAGAAAAAAGAATCATCGTATTTTACAATATATATATTTTTTTTTTCACAGTTATACCATCTAAAAGAGCACCATTCTTTATTGTGCATTTCCTCTTTCGCGTTACCTATCATTGGAATCAGATGCACCATTTTAATTCTCCAAGTGGCGTTGTTATAGGATCAGAAGCTTTTCACAGTAAAATCCCCGTACTCGTGCCAATAATGATCCGGCAAATCAAATCAAAATCATAATTTTGTTAATAAATGAATAAGTCCAATCAAATTTGATGACCTTGGCTTCCACGGAAAAAGACCCCGCAATTTAAAAAATGAGTCAAATCAAATTTGATGACTTTATTTTCCATGGAAAAAGACACCCACAATCAAAAAAATTTATGAGCCCCCCTTGGCAGGAGAATTACTAGATGTTACTGTAGTTTATAAAATATTACAAAAATATAAATTCTGAATATAAATTTCAATTAAACTGTATCATCAAATAATTTATAATCAAAATTGTCTAATAATTTTTATTTTAAAAACCATACAGAACAAAAATTGACATGTCCTCAATTACTTGGAACATTTAGTGTTATCTAAAGTTTAATCAATGAGATTATTTATTGTCCGCGTTATTTCTTGACAAATTTCACTAATTTCTAAAAAGTCAAAGAGAATGCATTTTTGTTGGTGGAACGTGTACCAAAATTGTAGGGGTGACAGTGTAACACTATTCATTGGACCATGGCGCCTCTTCTTTGTCACCTTATGGTATAATATTCATAATGAAAGAATAAATTGACTAAATAATGCCACAAGTACAACAAAATAAACAATAGATATAATTATATAGGATTGACAAAATAATGCCACATCTCATTATTGTCTATTATTTTTAGTTTTTATTCGTTTGGGCAGCCGGTCTATTTTTTTACTTTCAAAATCTCCCTATCTATGATTGAAGAGTTTCTATTCATGTGATGTAAATAAATAAGACCCGTATTTAAGTTTATGGAATAAAAACTATTTTGATAGATTTTTCGAACAAACATTAATAACTCGTTTGACAACTATAGTTGTTTTGTATTTTTGCTTTGATCCGAAATAGAAGTAATATTTTCGCTTTAGAGTGTGTTTAACATTATTTCGAAGCATGTTTGATAATGTAACTTTGTTGCAAGATTTTTTAAAGCAAAAACATGAGGGCATGTTTGGTAAAAAGTGTTGTAAGTTTGAAAATTTGAATGGCTAGTTAAAAATGTTAATTTAGAAAAATTAAAAATAAAAAAATTGAATAGTGTTTTGCTACAGTGCGGAAATAAACAAAAACATCATTTTGATGCTTCCGATTTTGGCCTCAATTTTGAAAGCGTTTCGGTACTATTCAAATGACTGCAAATGTTATCAAACATGCTTCGTGCTTTTACTTTGTTACAGCACACTAACAATAAAAAATACAAAATAAAAACATTAACCAAGCATGTCCTAATAGCATGTAACTGGTAAAATGGAGCAAATATGAAAAGGATCATGGTAGAAGGCCCAAAATTGGAATCCTCTTGCATTCCCACTACATGGGCATTAAGGATGGAACCGATTAATTAAACATCCAGTTAAGCAATTTCTTTGTTACAAAAATAAAATAAAATAAAATAAATAATAATAATAATAATAATAATAATAAAATGTTTGACTTCTTGAAACAGTTATTCTAATGAATTAGATATATAAAATTAAAATAAAAAAAAAATAATAATGAGAGTAAAAAATAAGATGAATAACTTTGTCTACCCACAAACCAATCATATTAAAGGGTGTTAGTGACATATAATTAATACATTCCACATCCCATTGACACCTCTGTACAGCAATGTCCCCATGAACGTGCTTACCTCTCTCTCTCTCTCTTAAATACATACTATATAATATAGTATAGACTATAGACATTTCCTGATAATGATCGTGCAATTAGTAGGCCTTTCATTTTCTAATAAACCATTTAAAGTAAGATAATTACCAAAATAAAACGTGAAATCAATGTGATGGAATGTGATAGTCTGTTATAATTATATTTAACGCGTTCCATCACATCATATTTATTTTTCAGTGATGTACTTTTCAATACATTATATTTGTTTTTTTAATAAAGTGATTTTCAATAAATTATGTCTATTTTTCAAAAGCATTATATATACTAAAAAAATAGATATAAATGTGCTGAAAATAAATTTGTTTTTTTAATAAAGTGATTTTCAATAAATTATGTATATTTTTCAAACACATTATATATAATAAAAAAATTAGATTTCAATGTGCTGAAAATAAATATAATAGTGTTAAAAATTATCATAACAGATTATTAGGCCGCACGGTCATATATAACCAGAATTTGAAATTAGTTACAGATGGACGTAAAAACCATTCTGGTAAAATTTTGGTGCCAACTTGGACCTACTCAAATATAAAATATCCCTCTCATACTAAAAATTATGGATTGATATATGAGATTTGATTGAATGTGAATTATTGTACCAATTAATTCAGGGTCCCTTTGGACCCGTCTTAATCTAAATGATCTATTGAGAAAAATAGTACCTATTTGTAAGGTAATCTTTCAAATATCTAATTTTATCATGTCAAGAAAATCTAAATTGACGACCAAATAAACAACAACCGTAAGTGTCTCCATCCAAAACAATATGGATTAAACTATAATTCAAATTGAAGTCATGTCCAAACATGCCCTTAATCAGTTGAAGCTATTTGCATAATAAATAGCAACCGATCATCATCATCATTGGTGCTTTTATCTAAGTTTTCATTTTTTATTTTATTTTTTCTAAAATTATTTTTAATTACTTCATCTATGTGACTTTTTATTTGCGAACAATTAACAATAGAGTGCTTCGTTATAAACAAGCAGCAGGACTACCCTTTTGAGAGACTTCATGAACAAGAATTTCTAACTTTTCATTAAATAACCCTGGATGAGCGTCACATGTTACACATATCATTTATGTGAACTGCAAGAAAAAACTCTGTTAAAAGTACAATATTTTTTCAAGGTATACTAAAAAAAAATAGATATAAATGTGCTAAAAATATTTTTATTTTTCTGTGTTTGACAAAGATCTAAGTCGAGGTCGAGTCTATCAGGTGTAAAATAGCTAAAATTGATGAACAAGTTATTTTTGTTAAGTTTAAATATATATATATATATTTCTTAAATATTTTATCGTAAATTTTACCCTGAAACACAGCCATTAGTAATACATAAAACTGTGTTTATGTGTGTGTGATTGCATTCTCTAAACCAACAGAAGAACTGTTAAAGCACAACAGAACAAAAGCTGAGTTCTAATACATATATACCTGAAGCCTTTCTTTCTCATCCGACTTGAGAAACAAGATAGGGGAGTTCTTATTAGTTGACCAAAATTGAATTTTACATCACAAGAGTGCAAACCTTGGGTGTTTGTTAGACAAGAAAGAATTTACACTCTGTTCAAATCGCAGTGATTATTTTCCATTTCACAAAAAGCAGTACCAGAATGTGAAAAACGCTGCAATACCGCTCAAGATACAAAGTCTGTCTAACAAGCTTTCGTTCCTCATCTTCTCTTCCCTTAACTCGCTCTGCACTTTTGAGTACAAGTGGCATGACTCGAGGGCTTCACTGTAATTTTTGCTCCTACGGCAGCTCAATGCTTCTTTCAGGACGAGCAAACTGTTTCTTCCATTAACATGAGCACCTTCCATATCTCCCAACTGCATGCTTAGCTCTGTCAATTTGAGACTCGTCTGGACACCCTCGCCTTCAGTATGGATCACTCTGAACTTCATAATCAGGATGCATTCCACTACTTGACATGGAAGAATATCTTTGGCAGGAAGAATGGATCCAAAGCGTATCAAGAAGTCCTTGTCTGTTGGCCAATGTCTTTGCCCGCCAAGGGGGCTCCAGCTTGAAAGATTAGCTGCTTGCTTTATTTTTCTGTTCACTACAATCCAACTAAGCCGGATTCCATCGCAGAGCTCCTGCCAGAGCTTCCCATCTTTCCTCTCTTTTTCCATGGATGTAATCAGTGGCAAACCATCAGAAACCGAAAGAGTAACTTCACCTTCGTGGTCATCATCTCTTGCTGAATAGGTAAGAAGATCGACACGGAAGGGGCAGTTGTAGAACCAACCATTGAAGCCATTTGCATTAGGAATGCCAGAAAGGACTTTCGAGCAAAATGTTTTGTCTTTATATCTGATATCTACAATAATGACGAAATCTGACGGTGAAATGCTTTCAAATTCACCCACATCACCATAGTATTCAGCCTCAGTCCATTCTTCAGGATACTCAAGGTAGTCATTCCATCGAAACTCAGGAACTTCCTTGTTTACTATAAGAGGAAAACAATCTGCATAAAACTTCTTGAATCCACCAATTGATGATATTAAATTTTTGACATCTTCCCTGTTGGTTGAAGGCCACATAGAAGAACATACATTCTCCCATAGCTTCTCTTCTTTTGAGATGGAACTAAATGCTGCACAAGTACATGCTGCACTTGCCAAAGTCGCACCATCAAGGCGCTTCAATATGTCATAGAAGATATCCCTGCTTAATGATGTAGCAACTGACGTCGTCATGGTCTTTTGATCATCTATAAGGCAATCACAAGGAAAATATCAAGTACATATACAAATATAGGCCACTATCCAACAAGACTAGCACAGGAAATCATTGAGCTCAAATCAGAGAATTATCCTGACTATTCAGCTTTGTACCATAAAGATAGAAGGGCGAACGATCCCCATCTTTATTTTAAGTCAGAATTCTCACCTGCCTCCCACGTCATTGACTATGTGCAATGTGCATGCATAATGCAAGTCAACATGCATCATTCAACATTTGAAATTTTCCACAATAATTAAGTCAATGACTAGTTGTACTCCTCCGATAACTAATGATTAGTTTGACAGAATATCATAAAATTACTTCACTGAATAAGCAAAATAAAATTTCCAAGTGGATCAACTCAAACAATTGTTTGGTTTCTACATCCACAGCTACTGCCAATGGTTGAGATTAAAATTCTAATTCAATCCAATAATGGACCCTTTGCATTTGCTTCCAAATAATAGGATCAATTAGGAGTGAGGTTTAATGAGCTTTGAGTAGAATCTGATATCTACCAAATTAAGAGGTTATTTTATACATATATAACCTCTTAAATGTCCTAATCAAACCACAACCCCCTTCCCATTACCCATGGCAGCACCTTATTAGACCGTGGAGGAATGCGTAGCAGCACCACAAAGACCCTACATGACATGAACAGTACCTTACTCGTCCATGAACTATATAGACCTTCATTCAATATTAGAGGAGGATCCTTTGGCATATTATATATCATTTTAAAGAGTGTTGAGAACACTGGACCAAACCTTAACCTCCACAGAATTGGACTGACCTCAATAAGAAAGGCCCTGACCTTGAGAATGGAATATCCGGGTTGAAGGCAACCTCATGTTCCAAGTGGTCCAAAAGCTAAAAGCGGTCAAAGAGTTGCTGAAAGGTCAGAACGTTACCACCTTTGGCAAAATAGATGAAAGAATCAACATTCTTAAGGATGAGCTGCACGAGATCCAAACCATTCTTGCAAGGGACCGATTTTGTGATGACCTTGCTACTGACACTCTCTATCTCTATCTCTTTTACAAGTTAACCCCGACTTTCATACAACTCAGTACATCTCCAAACCTCCATTATATTACATATAATACATTCAATTATTAATCATTCACAAGAACCCACAACATTAAATATTGTAATGTGTTACAATAATTAATTACTATGAAAATAAATGTGATCCAATATTAATTGGGTTTTTGAAGAGCTTTTGAAAATTAAGTGTTTTTCAATATTTTCAGATGCACAAAGTATTTTTTTTTTGATAAATACACAAACATATTAAGTATTATGTTTCTTAGTTGCATATTTGTATGATTCTTGATCCTTGTTAGAATGTTATATATATATATATATATATATATATATATATATATATAAGTGTTGGGCCATTATGTAATTACAGAAAGTTGATAGGGGGCCTTGTGTAGTTAAGTAAGACTTGTACTCTTTATATAAGCCTTGTACACTTTATTAGGTTTGAGGATGATGAATATATACAAGTCTGAAACTTCTCTCTCTCTCTCATATATATAACTTTGAACATGGTATCAGAGGGTACGATCATGGGTGTGAGAATCTGTAATTGGGTTCTTATTGTATAAGATTTGAGTTGCAGTTGTGGTGTTGGTGATCTCTACCGTCGGTTCCTTGTTTGTCGTCATCAGCAGCGGCTTGTTCATTGTCGTCAGATCTGCAGCATCGTCAGATCTGGGAGTTGTTCGTTGTCGTCTTTGCCGTGTTCGTCGTTGCCGGCAACTTCTCTTTGGTTGCCAGCGAGCTCGCCGACCTCTGCAATCTTGATTAATAGAGGTGAGGTTCATCTCTGTTGGCCGGAAGTTGCAGCGATCGCTGCTTATTGATTCGGCCGTTACTGGTGATTGGGTCGCTGTCGTCGCCGCCGTGTTATTCCCCGGCGTCTGTGAAGGTGTGAAGAAGAAGACCTCTGTTTGGCTACACAGTTATAGCTACTTCAACCCTAGTTTGCTAAACCTGGATAGCCCAGGTCAGTCCAACCCGTTTGAGCAGGTCCGTTGACCCGACCCGGTTGTCCAGATCCGACCCGTTTTCCAGGTTCGGCCAGAATACAAAATCTTTTTTTTTTTTTTTTTTCCCGCTTTTCTTCTCTGTTTTGCTGGATTCAACATGGCATCTAGTTCAAATTTACTTTCACCCACGAACAGTCTTAATTCTCCCATGACTTCAGTTAAACTCAATGGGAAGAATTACATATTGTGGACTAAATTTGTTGCCATTTTCCTTAAAGGCAGAGGCCTTGGTTCTCATTTGACTAAAGAGAAACCCAAGGCAACTGATGCCTCCTTTGATGCAAGGGAAAAGGAAGATGCTCAGATCATCTCTATGATGATAAACAGTATTGAACTCCAAATTAGTTCAACTCTACTTTATTTGGATACTGTCAAGGAGATATGGGACAGATTGCAGCAATTGTATTATGGGACAGGTAATATCACTCGTGTTTATGAGCTCTGTAAGCAGTACTTCAATCTCGAACAAGGTACTCAAAGTATAGAAGAGTATTCCAAAGTTATGGGAGTCTATGAAGAGCTGAATATGTATCAGCCCATTACAGGTGATGTTCGCAATATGTAACAACAGCGTGCGGACTTTAATGTTGTCCATTTTCTTACTGGTTTATCATCAGCATATGAGCCTTTTCGTGCACAGATTATAAGCAGTCCAACACTTCCATCTCTTGTTGAGGTGTTTTTTAGACTTCAGCGTGCTACACTTGCAAGTGATACCTCAAATTTGAATATTGGACAGAGTGGTGAGCGTTCAGCATTAGTGGTTTCAAATGGTGAACATAATACTTACCGTGGAGGTCGTGGGGGACGCTCCACACGTGGTGGTCGTGATTCACGTGGAGGACGTGGCCGTGGCAGGGAATCCAAAAAGTGTACCCATTGTGGTCTTTCTATTCATACTGTGAACTTTTGTTGGGATCTTCATGGGAAACCATCTAGTTATGCCAATCAAGTTTCCTCTTCTCTGAATGATGTTGCTTCTGGATCGCACAACATAGCTGAATCAGATACAGTTCCTGTTCCACGGGATAAGTATACTCAGTTTTTGTCTTATAAGCAAGTATCTAATTCATCTTCCACGGCTACTTTTGCCCAGTCAAGTACTGCACACACATGTCTATTGTCTTCCACTCGCAGTCCTTGGATCATAGACACTGGAGCATCTGATCATATGACCGGATGTTCTTCTCTTCTATCTGATTTTCATTCTGTACATCCTTCTCAAAGTGTTACTCTTGCTAATGGTTCATCCACTCAGGTTTCAGGTTTGGGGACAACTCAACTTAGTGATTCATTGTTTCTCTCGTCTGTTTTACATGTTCTGCAGTTTCCCTTTAATTTAATGTCTATCAGTAAGCTTACTAAATCTCTCCGGTGCTCTGTTAAATTTGATCCTACTTCTTGTGTGTTTCAGGATCTCAAGACGAAGAAGACGATTGGTACAGGACATGAAGCTGGTGGCTTATATTATTTTGATTTCGAACCTTCTCCTGTGGCTCTTCAGTCTTCTCTGTCTCCATTCCAGTGGCACTGTCGCCTTGGTCACCCGTCACTTCAAGTTTTGAAGCGTCAAGTTCCTAGTCTTAGTCATTTGAAATTCTTGTCATGTGAAGTTTGTCAACTTAGTAAGCACCATCACGTGTCTTTCAAGTCTAGGGTTAATAATCGTATCTTTAGTCCTTTTCATTTGGTTCATTCAGATGTATGGGGTCCAATAAAACATTCTTCAATCAATAAATTTCATTATTTTGTGACATTTGTGGATGATTATTCTCGCCTGACTTGGTTGTTTTTAATGAAAGATCGTTCTGAGTTATTTTTAATTTTTCAAAAATTTCGCAAAGAAATCAAAACTCAGTTTGGATGTCCAATTCGTATTCTACGTTCTGGTAATGCTAAGGAATATTCTTCAACTTCATTTGATACATATCTTAGTGATAAAGGAATTATTCATCAAAATTCATGTGTTTATACTCCACAACAAACTGGAGTTGCAGAACATAAGAATCGACATCTCTTAGAAGTAACTCATGCTCTTTTGTTTCATATGCGTATGCCTAAACGGTTTTGGGGTGATGCTGTTCTTACTGCCTGTCATCTTATTAACCGTATGCCGTCATCTGTATTAGATGGCAAATCTCCACATTCTATTTTATTTCATTCTATTTTATTTCCTGATTCTCCCTTGTTTTCTCTTCCTCCTAGGGTTTTTGGATGTGTATGTTATGTCCACAATCTTGGTCCTGGTTTTGATAAATTAGACCTACGTGCCACAAAGTGTGTATTTCTTGGCTACTCTCGCTCTCATAAAGGTTATCGCTGCTATAGTCATGTTTCTCAACGGTACTTTATTAGCGCAGATGTAATGTTTTCTGAGTCCATCCCATATTTTTTAGATACTGATTCACTTCTTGATATCACTCTTGAGTCGCCTCCTTCTGCCGTTCCTCTTCCCTCACTCTCTTCAACCTCGATCTCTTGTTCCTTCATCTGCCCCGTTACAGGTGTACACTCGAAGACCAAAGCCATCTGTTGTCGTGCCTCCTCCATCGTCTTGAGAGTCTTTGGATCCGGCGCCTTCCACTGTGTCTGATTCCTTGCCTATTACACTTCGTAAAGCTCCTCGCTCATATGTTACTAACCATCCCATTGCTCATTATGTCTCTTATAATTCCTTATTGCCATCATTCTCCTGTTTTTCCTCTAAGTTGTCTACTACATTCGTTCCTAAGACTGTGCATGATGCGTTATCTGATTTGGGCTGGAGGAAAGCAATGCAAGATGAAATGAATGCTTTGCATAAGAATGGCACGTGGGATCTTGTTCCATTACCTCCGGATGTCAAACCTGTTGGTTGTCGCTGGGTATATACTGTGAAGTATCTTCCAGATGGGTCTGTTGAGCGTTTAAAAGCACGTCTTGTTGCCAAAGGTTATACCCAAACTTATGGTATTGACTATGACGAGACATTTTCTCCCGTTGCTAAGATTTCTTCTATTCGTGTTTTGATTTCTCTTGCTGCTAATAGACATTGGCCTCTGTTTCAGTTAGACGTTAAAAATGCCTTTTTGCATGGTGACTTAGCAGAAGAGGTTTATATGGAGCAATCACCTGGGTTTGTTGCTCAGGGGGAGTATCTTCACACCGTTTGTCGCCTTAAAAAGGCTCTGTATGGATTGAAACAATCTTCACGGGCTTGGTTTGGAAAATTCTCTGAGGTCGCGTTAAAATTTGGTCTTAAGAGATGTCAGACAGACCATTCGGTGTTTCACTAGCGCAGTAAAGCTGGCTTCATATTTCTTGTGGTGTATGTAGATGATATTGTGATCACAGGTGATGATTCTGAAGGCATTGCTAAGTTGAAGTTGTTTCTGCAATATCAATTCCACACTAAAGACTTGGGTAAACTTAGGTATTTCTTGAGCATTGAAGTTGCTAGATCCAAGAAGAGTATAAGTTTATCCCAACGCAAATATGTGTTAGATTTATTAGAAGAAACAGGTATGTTGGGTGGTCGTCCGGTTGATACTCCTATGGATTCAAATACAAAACTTGTATCTGATGAGGGTGATCTATTTAATGACCCGAGCAGGTTTCGTCTCCTTGTTGGGAAATTAATTTATCTCACTATCACTCGACATGATATTTCATATGCAGTCAGTGTTGTAAGTCAGTTCATGTGAGTTCCTAGAATGCCACATTGGATTGCTATTCTTCGGATTATACGATATCTCAAGAAAGCTCCAAGTTTAGGGTTACTACATAAATCAAATGGTCATCTCAAGGTGGAAGGTTTTACAGATGCTGACTGGACTGGTTCTCCTTCAGATAAGAGATCTACTACAGGCTATTGCACATTTGTAGGAGGAAATCTTGTTACATGGCGAAGTAAAAAGCAGACGGTGGTAGCTCGATCTAGTGCTGAAGCTGAATATAGGGCAATGGCCCATACCACTAGTGAGTTGACATGAATACAACATTTTCTAAAAGAACTTGGGTTGATAGTTGAGGCTCCTACTCCATTGTTCTGTGATAATCAAGCAGCAGTTCACATTGCATCAAATCCTGTGTTTCATGAGAGGACCAAACATATTGAAGTTGATTGTCACTTCATTCGAGAAAAAATATTAAGTGGGAGCATCTCTACTCCATTTGTGAAGTCTGAAGATCAATTAGCTGATATGTTTACCAAAGCATTAGGTTATAACCGGTTAAGAACTATCTGTTCCAAGCTGGGATTATTTGATATATATTCTCCAGCTTGAGGGGGAGTGTTAGAATGTTATATATATATATATATATATATATATATATATATATATAAGTGTTGGGCCATTATGTAATTACAGAAAGTTGATAGGGACCCTTGTGTAGTTAAGTAAGACTTGTACTCTTTATATAAGCCTTGTACACTATATTAGGTTTGAGGATGATGAATATGTACAAGTCTGAAACTTCTCTCTCTCTCTCATATATATAACTTTGAACAATCCTATTCTAAGGATCCCTCATTGGTCCATTAGGATCCCAATTTCAAAAAACTTGGACAGAACCAAGTGCAGCCTTGTGGGATCCTACGCATCACGGTCCTATGGAATAAGAAAACGCTACCCTCAAAAGGCTCAAATTGGAGTCAAGTTGAAAATTTAAGGTAAGTTAATTGTAGTATGTGATGATTTAAGTTCATATTAGGTTGCAACTAGGGTCTTCTAAACTCTACTAGTGTATTTTTTCCCCATAAATGTTTTGATTTACTTTTACAAGAAATAGAAGGAAAGGAGGAGAAGGTTTCTTCCACAAGGAAGGGAAGGAAAAAGAAATCAAAAGACTCCTGATATATGACAGATTAAAGGAAAATAGAAACTGAAACTACTATACACTTGCCAAGTCAAGCCTCCGAAGTTTGAAATCAACTCACTACCCAACAAAACGAAATGATGAAGTAAAAAGGAAAATTAATTACTCATTTCTCTGGGGTTGGTCAAATTAATCACAATGAGAGAATCCCCTTTTAGATTAGTGTGATTCAAGCCCCTAGATCTGCAGTCACAAAGTTCCTAGCCTCCCATAAAATTGCCAGAAATTCTTTCCACCCAAGCAAAGCAGTCTAGAGAAAGCAAAAACAGGGTTGCCAGAAGTCTGCAAATGAGCTAAACAGGGTTTCATGCTGATTGAACTCAGCTCAGCTGAAAGCAGCACTGTTCAAAATTGGCTCAGGCTTGCCCGAGATAAAGATATCTTAGCTCAAGCTCATCGACAACTACTGAAGCAACTTGTAAGCCAAGCTTGACGCGTTTTAGAAGGCATAGGTTTTACTTTTTTAGACATCTGTCATGTTCTGATCTATAGCAACTTTATAAGTATAAGAAAAATTAACTTGTGTCAGTTTTTACTCTGGTTCCTTCATACTAAAATTATTATAAATATATTATATATCCATGGCAACCTTTTTGTGTTACAACTTGTGACTTCAAGTTTTTTTTTTTTTTTCTTTTTCGGAAGGTCTTGTGACTTCAATATTCAACTGTGACTTCAAAGGAGGAGGGGCCAAAGATTGAAAATATTAGGAGAGCTTCGGTAAGATGAAACAGACCATGCTATATATGATTATAGCAAAAAGAGGTACCCTCCAAAGTTCTACACACATAACCCCAAAAGTAGCCGTAATTTCTTCCACAGAACAAATTTGAATGAGCTGAAAGCATTCTTTCCAACCCTTGCGTTTTACTCCTCCCAAACAATCGTGCTTAATTAGAATTTAATTCTATCTCCAACAAAACCAATGAAGCTACACACATCAATACTTCTGGAGCATCCTTATTATAGGGTCCAACAAATTTAGGTGCCACTTTAAAAAGAGAGTACCGCCAGTTAAAAGCTAACAAGTGAAAAGAGAACGCCACAACGAGGCCAATGTGATACTATTCAACGTCACGGGTATTCGCTCTTTCAGAAGCAACAATGCAAGAAAGATCCTTGAATTAACTATTGAATCTTATACTTCAAAACAAAATCAATGGAACTCAAGCAGGAAGAAGTAATAGAACAACTAGAGACCAAACGGGAGACTTGCAAAGGGTCAATTGGGTCCAAAACCTACCCTTGTCCACAATATATTTATCTCAGAATTATTTAAAATTTAAAATTCATATCGGGCAAATGCAGGTTAATTGCATCTCCTAACTATGTCCATACCATAAGAAACCAAGTAGGTCCGGGTCAGCTAAAACATAATATAGACAAAATCCAATACTAGGGCATGGCATTAACATGAATTGCAGAAGCAGAAATAGGGTATAAGAATGTACAAGTACGACCAAACCAAGTAAAATTATGGTATTATGTCCAAAAACATATATTCTAGAATAGTGCCATCAAAGAATTCAACAATAGCCGACCGGAGAAGATGGATGCATTTAGCCAACTCCTTATAATCAGAATAAAACATGGATGTCTGTTTTTTAACTTATCCAAAAAAAAAAAAAAAAAAAAAAAAAAAAAAAAAAAAAAAAAAAAAAAAAAAAATTGTCTTGAATTAAACCAAAAAGAAACTTTTACCATATACAGCTTAGGGTACAAATTTTGTTGGGAAAAATAGAATAAAATCATTGGTGCCAATAGATGTGTAAGAAAGGGTTCGGCAGACAGCTTAATTTTTAAATCAACACGTTGAAGTATTGCAAATCTGAAAATGGTTAAAAATCGAAAACCAAAACACAGATAAGTTAGATAAACACTGAAATTCATGGGTAGCGTTCAAATTTACAGTTTACATGCAATGGGAAGCTTGAGAGAATACCTAAAAATGCAAACTTATCCAAGAGAGGGGCTTCCAATCACAAATATTGAATTAAAAGATTCACCCAGAATTATAAAGTAGGAGTGTTCTAATTCAAGGTGTATAACTGTGTTAGACAAAAGTAGAATTCTGAGATATGACAAGCTCTCGCGACTCAGTTATACAAAAATCTTGAAATATCAACAATGTAATTACATAAACAAGTTATATACACACACAGATGAACTCATATGTGCACAAACACATAATTTAAAACATACGTATCATACAAAGAGCACATTCTGTGTATCATACAAAGAGCACGTTCTGGCAAATCAAAAAGATGGAAGATAACAGCAGAAACTTAAATTTTCCAATACCTAAATTTTAGCAAATAAGTCCCCGGTTGAAAGAAAGATCAAAGGCTAATTGATCAGTGGCAGATACAACACATAGTCACATATGATTCATGCGTATATCATTCTTCTAGTTTATCACAGATTAATTTACACAAATAAAAAAAAAAAATTGTTAATTGTACAAAATAAATATTTTGTTAAAGAAAATCAGGATTCCAAATGAAGAAACCCAATCTAGTGAGATATAGAGAGAGAATTGACACACCTCAACAAATGGGTATGAGGGATTGAAAGATGGGCACAGAGAGAATGAAGCCTTGTTGATTTTTGGACAGAGTTTGAGTTATTCATCGAATTTAAGGAGTTTTCACCGACCGCAAGCTGATCTGAGGGCAAATGGGTTCACGAGAATGGGTCAAGCGGTCACTTTCTTCTCAATTTTTCGAAGATTTCTCGTGAATGGATTGATAATGCTTGTGGAACTTCTATGGTTTGGGTCTCGCCGGTGACACATATTAATATAATACTCCAGTAAAGTACCTTCTCGGTGATGGACAGTGGAGAATTTAAATGGTCAGAAGGGAGGATCAGAAGAAAGTAGGACCCACGGACGAGTTCTGCAAGGTGTGATCGCATGTACGGGAAATCGAACGTCTTGTTTTTGGCTTGTTTTGGGAAAAATCCAATTGCATTGTCGGGTTCGGGTGAGTCCACTTTGCAATTTATTCTCCTTTTTACCCTTTGCATGAATAAAGAAATTCTTCTGTACTTGCAAGTAATTTATTCATTATTTCCTCATGTTTCTTCAAAATGATGAAAATGTATAAAACAGACACTGATCTTCTTCTATATTCATGAATGCCAAATTTCAAAAGAATTTTACTGACAGCTAATAACTTTGTTTTACCACTTTTACATAAATATTTTAAATATATTACAATTTCAAGTTTTTTTTTCTTTTCTGTTCTTTTTTACCAGTCTCGAAATCAAAATCTTGACTAGAAATTAGGAGTTTAAACCCAAGACCACTAAAAACAAATTCTCAAATTGTAACTTTTTTTTTTTTTTTTTACCTAAAGAAGAATTTGTTTATTCATGGAAATGGTACTTTTCAAAAAATATATTTTGTAGTCAAAATTTCTGAGATTTTAATCAGTCACTGAACTTATTATTGGTGACCAACATGTGGTAATAGAAAAAAAACATTTACTCTCATATTACCACATAATTGAAGGTGGTTCAAAAGCCAACGTCTTGACCCAACAAGTGCTCCAACACATTATCACAAAACACAAAATCTTCAACCTACTTATAGCATATAAACATAAATAATGAACAAGTTTCAATGTCAAGACCTACTTAATACTGTAAATTAACATGGAAGACAGTGACACATTGCCACTGTTTACAAGTACGTGCTTTTTGAGATAAGGCAATTACTCAAATCAAATTGGATAATTGAGTGATTGTCTTTTGTTTCATGAGACAACATCTATTCAAATGCGCTCATAGATTTAAGATTTTGACAATTAACCCAACCACTTCTATGATTTGGATATATGACCAACCCAACCACCTCCTTCCCAACTCCTATTGATAATCAATTCGGGTACATGATATGACTTGAACCAATGTGTAAAATGTAAGATATTTTTTTTTCTTTTTAAAGTTTTTCTAATTTGATAATTTTCACTTGCACCAGTCTCGTCACATAGATGCAGGGATGGACGCAGAAAAATATGTCAGTAAGAGTGACTTTTAACAAAAATATTGTGGGAGAAATAGTGAAGGTTTAAGTCGTAAACTTGCTCAATAAAAAATATTCGAATTCACACTGAATGCATTGAATTGGTTTCGAGACATTAAAAATTCGTCTCACCGTCTAATTGCATCATGTGAGACAAAGTGTACAATATTGATACATTGAATAATTTGAATAGACATTAAAAATTCGTCTAGACATTAAAAATTCATCCTGCCGTCTAACTGCATTAGGTGTCAGTCGGGACAAAGTGTACGGTATTGAACAATTAATGGGCTGAACAAACACCATGGTACATGTCCCAGTATTTGAACAAGATAGTTACAACTTTCAAGTACAGGCCCATTTGTATGACTCTCTTGATATTAGAACAATCTAGCACATGGGTTACAAAACTAGTAGAACAACCTAGAGGAGGTAAAAAAAAAAACATGTGGCTGAGGAGTTGCAATTGTTTGTTTTACTTACCATAATAAATATTATTTATGCGCACACATGTACGCAAGTATGTGGAGAGATGGTATTGTTGTATTAATTGAAATTGAAAACGAAAAGGTGAGATCAGGTTTAACAAGGATCAATCAATTAGGAAAGGACAAGTATGCTTTGCCAGAAACAGAGTGGGAAATACTTTTTTTTATAGTAGTACACATAGAGCGATGATTTGAGATCTCAAAGAAATTTTGGGAAGATGGCACCAAAGTGAGTAAAAGTGACTAATTAATACTAAGGGCATATTTGGATGTGTCGTGATATTATTTTGTTTATATTTATCTTTATCTTTAAATTTTGGTTAATATCATAAATGACATTGACCTTAATTTAAAATAATTCATAATATATTAAATTTTTTTATTCAAATTTATATCATATTATACCAGATGAACTAAAATATTGTAATCATATATTGTACATTGTCATTAAGAAGAACTTAAATATTATCCTTAATTTGAAATAGTTCATATAATATATTTATTTATTTTATTTTTTTTTGTCCAAATTCATATCGCAATATATCGGATGAACTAAAACTAATTTCCTAAAATAAAATTTCGTTACCATATATTTAGTTATGAACCCTAATTGTTACTGTTTATATGTTATGATATCAATATTTCATATGGAATTTTGAGTTGGGCACTTTAACCAATCAGTTCAGATAGGGATGCTTAAATCATTCAGCCATGGCTAAAAATTGAACTTGCGACCTACATGGTGTGTGAGAAAAACAGGTGCTATATTTTGTTTGGAATATATGGTTTGATTCGGTACGAATCTAAGATTGAACTGTCAGAGACAATATTTTGTTTGGTGGTTGGAATAAAAGTAAGCCAGTATGCAATAAAAGTAAGATTAATGATAATGAATGTATATGTATATATATATATAGAAATAGATGCATTATATAAGTTGTTCCAAGTTTTTTGGCAACTTAAGGTAAATTGAAATTTTTTGTAAAAATGCCATATTTTTTTTTTTTTTTTCAATTAAAAATATACTAACATCACCAAGAAACTGAATAAGATGGATTCGTTGGATTAAATTCCTATCAAACAAACAGATAAATATATTCCCATCAAACAAACAAATATATATATCTGTTCTAAATAAAATCAACTTTATATATTCGAAAGAGTCCCACTGGTAGTTGAAATTGAAAGTAAATGACAAACAAGGTAGTAACCCACGATCTAATAAGATGCTTGTTTAATGATATCAGGCAAATCCGTAAAAATCAAAGCACATAATCCACCAGGCGGCTAAGAAGAGATCTAAATAACTAAAGACCTAGGGTTTTGAATTACGGCGATTAGGGGCGGTCGTCGGAGGCATCATCAACAGCCGGCGAACTTTTAGATTCTTTGTCGTCGGCGTCGTCAGGGTCACGGGTTGGGTCAGACTTGTTCATGGCGGCTCGAGCCTTATCGAGCCAGGGCTTGAACGCGAGCTCTATGGCCATCCACCCAAAAGCTAGGGCTCCGAACACCACGATCGTCGACTTCAGTGCATTGTTCTTTGATCGCCCCATGGAAGCCAAATCAAAAATCCTTCTCCTCCTTGTGCAACAAAAGCTTATACGATGTGTATTGTATATGTACGCGTATAACCAACTTCTGGGTCAACAGCATTTGTTTTATACAATCTCTTTGCGTGGACCGAACGATGGTGTGAATTGTGACTTGTGCATCAAACACGGGTTTCTGGTCCCCACCAATGACGTCCATCTAACACGTCTTCTACTTGATCAAAAATACAGGATCCCTATTTTAAATATCTTTCTGTCGTACAATCAAGCAAACGCGTCGATATGTCCGAGTGGTTAAGGAGATAGACTAGAAATCTGTTGGGCTTCGCCCGCGCATGTTCGAACCCTGCCGTTGACGTTTTTCTTTTTTGGTTTAGGTGTTTAAGCTTTCAAACAATGAACCAGGCCAATAAGAAATAATTCATGAAAAAAACAAAAAAAGTTTCTTATACATGTGGGAAAAAAACTAGATAGGATTCTCTTATGAGCTCTACTATTTTTCTGACCCCAACATTGGCCAACAAGATTGTCCGGGTTGGTCGGATAAAAAAATATATATATATATATTCTGGTTTATCTTTGCCATCATTCATTTCTCCTTCATTTCTACATATAATACCATAATTTCATTGTTTCTCTCTCTATAAAAACTCTATTTATATAAATATTTTTTCTCTCTAATTTCTATTTGTATATATTTTTTTCTTCTCATTCTCTCTAACGGTTTTTTCCCACATTTATAAATTCTATTTCTTTAATTAGTAATAATAAATAAATTTAATTTATCTTTCTTCAAAAATTCTATTTATGTCCTAGTGTGTATCAAAGGCTCTTTGTATGTCCTCACATGATTAAATAATTAAATATTAATTTATTAAAAAAAAAACTTCTAAGACTTGAACCTCCTGACCTTCCTTTGGGAGATAAGAGGCTGATACCGCTATGTCACTGGCCCGTTGATAAGTATTAAGGTTTGTCATTTGTATAAAATAAAATAATTTATTCCATACGAAAAATATGTGCTATTTTTATATTTATTTATATTACTATTTAGTAATTATTCATAGACATATGATTTGGCACTTGACTTTATATATATATATATATATATATATATATAACATTATATTTCATTTGATTTTTAAATAAAGATAAAAATAAAAATTATTTATTTGATTTAAAGATACATATATTACATTATATTTATATATATTTTAAATTATATATATATATATACACACATATATTTAATAAATTTTACTCTAGGCTCTTTTAAGTAATTTAAACTTCTACTTTTCTTTTATTATTTTTGTAAGAAGTATTTTCATACTTTTGTCTAGCTCACTTTATTGAATATTAGTGTTATTTTACACATTTTATTGAACTACATGAAGTTTTTGGCAATTCATCTTGGTTGGTGACACAAATAAAATGGAAATCATATTCTTACATCTACACTTTTTTGTTTGTATCGATGTAGGTTATACATGGAGTGCCAATCCAACACAAATATTTCTTTTTTATTTTAATATTATTCAAATTTCATTTGAAGTTTGTTTATTTTTCCACTGTGTTCTTTTCTCAACATTCATATTGACAATGATTACTTCACATTATTTTCATCTCGTGTATTTACTCACGAGCAATACAAGAGAAAATTAGTTTATACCAATCGGTTTGCTCCGGGACACATCACAGTTGACCACCGTAAGAATTTTAGTCGTAACAAAAAAAAATCCATGATCTGGGTAATTATTACTCGCTAGCACCATTGCTTAAAACAAGTAGAAGAATTGGCTTAAAACAAGTAGAAGAATTGAAAGCTCTTAGAATTAAACATCTCCCACCACACTGGGCAGACAACGGGTAAATGGACACAAAATAATCTAGTAAATGGACCACGCTATTTCAACAGTCTAGAAAACAAGTCATCATAATAAACATCATTAGAAATTATCCTGCAGCAAGACAACTCGGTGAAGCCCTCCTGGGAAAGGGCATAACCCAATAAACTCTCCCATGACACAGGTGTTTACATAAACAAATATGCTCCAAAAATTGCAACTACTGCAACGTATCTAACGGCCTCTACCACGTCCACGCCCACGACCACGGCCCCGACCACGGCCCACAGGCCTCCCTGAATTGGACAATAGTAAGGCATTAAAAAAAGATTACGGAAAGTACCAACAGGATCAACCAAAATTATATTAAATAGCAAGGAATGGCACAGATATTTGAAATACCAGCTGTCGGTTTCTTGGGCTTGACCCTAGGTGCCTCTTCCACGAGCAAGGTCTCAAGATTCAAGCTGTCAGGAAGGATATAGTAACGAATATTGTTACCCCTCACGCTCAGGTGATCCAAAGTCACTGGATTTTTCCCCTTCAGTGTAAGCTTTACTGTCTTCAAATGTGTATTCATACTAATATCTACACCTATAATAAAACAAGCCAACAAAGCTACCAGTCAGAAACTTTGGTTCACACAGCTGAAGTTTTTACATGTAAGCACATGTTTGTTTCAGTTAACAATCCAATCACCCATAGGAAGAAAGATAAGCATACTAGTAAGTCTCTCCAATTATGTTACTCTAAATCTAAAAGTGAAGTTAATTTGACAGAATATACACACACAGTAGAAAAAACAGATGCATTGAGAATGTTCAATTTCATCACACCAAAAAGCACCTTCAAATATAATGAAATATCATCTTGTAGAGTTCAATTTAGTCCCTGCCCTTACTTAACACCACCCTTATTTTTTCCTTTGTCGAAAAAAACAAAAACAAAGAAGTTCAAAATGCAACTTCATTGAATCCCTTGATAGCCAAAATTCTGATATTGAAAGTTTTGCTATTGGAAATGCTCATGTCACCGGGTTAAAAGTATTGCTATTGGAAATACTCATGTCTCCGGCTTAAAAGTATTGCTATTGGAAATACTCATGTCACCGGGTTAAAAGTATTGCTATTGGAAATACTCACTTGATAGCCAAAACAATGATATTGAAAGTTTTGCTATTGGAAATTACTTCTGTCACCGCGACAATTCACCGCTGGATAACCAGAGAGGGATCATGGCACCCCTCATGAAACTTTATAGAATGTCATATCTTTAACACCACCAACTAGTCTGCTTTGCTTCAGCTGGTTCCCATTATAACTCACTAACTCTACATCCCAAAATTATTATGCCCATGGACCTACTCTAATATGATTTTTATTTTTTATTTTGATAAGTCCTACTCTAATATGAATTTTATTTGCAGATCCTTAAAAAAACAGACCAAATTCTTTCATTTTTATTTTTTGAATAAGCATTTTTTGTTATTATGTCTTGACCCACGTTAAAAACATTCCCCCCCCCCCCCCCCCCCCAAAAAAAAAAAAAAAAAAAAAAAACACACCAATATAATAGTTTATTAAATTTGAAGATCCTGGCTCAAGCGCTTTTTCCCACCAAATCTTCTTTATATATATATATATATATAATATTATGAATATACTAAGCAATAGAGGGAGCACATCATGTACACTAACAGTGTACGTAAATCACACAACTAGACTCCCTCTATGTAAGGTGAAACATTCAAAAAGATTTACAAAATAATGAATAAGATCTCAAAATCTCCCTCTGAGAAAGAGAAAGGCTGGTTTGGTTCAGTTTTCTGAAAATAGTTTTGTTCTTGAGAACTCAGAAAAAGAAACTGTATTTAGAGAACTCAAAAAGCAGTTCCCTAAAAACAAGCCTTTTTTAATGAGTTTTTTAAAAACAGTTTACAAAACAACCAAACAAGTTTCTGTACACTTTTCTTATTTTCAGTTCTCCAAAAATAGAAAACTGAACTAAACAGACCTGAAGCCTCTAGCAACACTTTCAGAATCCCAATAATAAGCATTTCCTTATCCTCAAAAGATTGTATGTTCTACTCCAGCAACGCGCTCCACATAAGGCCTAAAGGTGTGACTTGTCAAGCTGATGACCTCTTCCTTGACAAATTCACCAGCCCAAAAACCCAAAGAACAGTAAATAGGGATTGCAATTCCCTTACCACCTCACAGTGAAAGAATATAACAAGTGGATTCTTCAGCCTTTTTGCAAATGCAGGATTAATTAGGATCATTTCACACCTATTATTCATAGTTAACATTACTTGTTCAAATTATTTATAGTAATCATTACCTCAAAATCCACGTACCACATAAATGATGACAACTTGGAAGGCATCTCTACCCTCAAATGCGTTTGTCAGCATTCCACCTCAATGTATCCTCCCAATCCCCCACACACCAAGCCACCATATAAAATCTCAAATAAAAACTCAATCCTGTTTCACTCGCAATTCTGAAGAGCTCAAAAGGAGGTTCCCAAACTAAACTTCTATGCAATACAGAATAGCTGTAGGGAGGATATATTCACGGGCATAATCCCATACCATTATGCTAAAATCTCATCTTCAACCATTATATATAACATACTTAAGTATCCGGATAATTCAGTCTGCTCCTACCTAATAGCTTTCCAGACCTTGGATCCGACTGAAATTGTAAACTCCCCAGAGATCTATTCTCTATTTTCACTGGGTAACAACTTCTTCTTAAGTATCACACTAAGCTAAGCTATGGGTAGCTTGCTAATAGATGATCTTGTTCCAAAACAAATGCTAGCTTCACATAAACTAAATAAATACTCCATTTTGATAAAGAAAAATCAATAATCATTCATAGAGGGAAATTAACAAAAAAGGAGACTAGCACCTTATTGAAATGTGGGGTTGTCAGATTAATTGGAAAATCTGTACATATGGGATGGGTTCAAAATTGGATTATGAAGGATGTTCTATTTAATCTCCTAAGATTGCCGATCTTGAATGGGCAACAATGAAAAAGTGGGTTAGAGAGGCTTTAAAAAAGGCCCCAGCCCTCTCTGTTCAGCATACCAAAGCTTAGGTATTATTTGCATTAAGTGAAACCTCAAACTCTAATCCACATTCCCATGCTTGGCAGTCCAAACTTTTTCCAATACACCAATAATGAACCATAGTACAGAGAGGCTATACTAATAATAAATGAGATATTTGAACTTGCCACAAAATCTCATGTTCATAGGTGCTAATATTTGTTTTTTTAAAATCCTGATACATCCAACAGTTCTGAGAAGAAAGAAAAAAAAAAGCCAATTCAAAGCCATAAATACCGAGTCAACATTGTCAAAAGCGAAGACTATAGTTTTACAAAACAAATCTTGAAGCGCAATAATCATAATCCAAAATACATATTGAGCAACTAATAGTTTCCATTAGTAGCCAAAAGCATATGTGCGTTTGTTCAGCAATTGAACTAGCAAACTACAAAGAGAAAATTAGGGTTTAAGAAAATATGATTGGAAAAAAAAAAAAAAAAAAACAGGGACACTTCGACACTAATTTTTTTGTCTGCGCCAATTAAACACAATCCATTCCACACTAAGCTTAAACGACTCGACCTTTTAGTGCCTTTTTTTAGCAGGGCAGAAAACATAATGTATATAAATTTCTTTCGATTTTTCACTAATAAAACATAATAGTAGTGAGATAGAAACCTGTGATTGTGCCGTGAACAACGGTTCCATTCTTAAGTTCGATCGATACAGTCTCGTTGTTCAACTTCATCAAGAACCTGTATATATGGAGTAAAACAAACATCATCAGAAACAGAAATAGAGCATTAATGTTTGCATCGACATCAAATCACAGAAATATCGCTAGAGATAGATATACGAACCTGACAAGCTTCATTCTGGCAAGAGGACGACGGTCTAGGGCTTAGAAGCGAAGGCGAAGGCGAGGGCGAAGACTGGCAGTGGGAGGAGGGGGTTTTAGGGCACGGGCGTACACGAAAGTCTTTTTGTCAACTGTCACCGAGATAAGCGACGTCGTATTGAAGTGTTGAAGAACCTTGCTAGATGGCTTGGGCCAGTATATTCCCAATTCAGTTCTGATTTAAAAATTCCGAAATCCAAATTTTTATATGTATTGTATAGTTTGTAACTTTCTATACAAACAAAATTTCAAGTTCCATGTGTAATTATATACTCAGTAATATTTTATAAAATCATAAAATATTTAAGAACTCCAGACTTAGGTGTTGTTTTATAAGACTAAGTATTAAAAATTTTAAAAGCTGAATTTTAAGTGATAATTAAAAGATAAATATTTTTTAAAATTTCTAGTGTTTAGCATTTAATGATAAGTGATACCATGTCATTTAAAATTTTATCCTATTTTAAGTGAGTTTACATTTTTGAGTGATATTTAATTAGATAAGTGCTTAATCTATTTAAAATTAAGGGCTAAATTGAATAATCAAACAACACCTTACATTATTTGTGTTTGATTCTATTTTATTTTCTATTTCTCCGATAATCGAAGTGTTCAAAACTTTGTTCAGACTAATTCATGGTGCCCGTGCAAGCGCCACTACACGAATTAGATAAAGCTAATACTATGTTCACTGGCGTGGTTCCTAAAAGATTGTTTACACATAGGAGGAATCGAACATGAGTCATGATGCTTTATGAAATACGGGCTCAAGTCTTTTTTCAACTAGGCCAATCCCTTAATATTTTCTAATTAATTTCATATTGTACACAATTTTGAATTATTCTAACTCAAGTTGTATTGTTTGAAATCCATGTGACCCATAAAATTTCATTAAGTATCTAATTAGATGGAAATGTAATTCGAATTTTAGATTCTAAATTTTTAATAACCATTTCATCTACGTCATTTCTAAATAGGTGTGTTGATATTATAGGTTGAGTTTGTCATTTCTCTTACTCACAAAATATTAAGGGTTAGTTTGGTGTGGTGGAATGAAATAAAAGAAAGTGAAATGAAATGATTTTATTTTTTTTCCATTCTCGTGTTCGGTGCCAATTTTAAAGTTGGAATCATCATTCCCCATTATTCTTAGAGAATAGTCATTCTATCAAAATAATTCCACATTCAAACAAAAGGAATAACCATTCCATTCCATTCAATTCTCACCTCCATTCTCATTAATTCCTATTCATTCATCCACACTAAACTAGCACAATGTTTTTTCTTTTCGGTAATTAAATATTAAACCAAACTGAAGAAAAATACAACTGGCAAAGCCCAAAGAAAAAGTCCAAAAAGACAACAGACACAAGGCCCAAACAAAAAACCAGCCCCGCCCATAAAACTTGGAAACCACTGCTGCAACTGCGAGCGAATCAAGCAGAAGAAACAACAGAACCCAGAACAAGGAGTGAAGGAAACAAAACAAAAGACATCAATCATCAATGGCAGCTCCGTCCATCCCATTACTCAGAAGAGACCACCACCGGCGACTGACCTTGCACTATGACAGTCACTGAATTTTATAGAAAGCAGCTTCTTCTTGATGCATTCAACAATTTGCTTGACCAACACATTTCCGACTAATTTTTTTTTCCAGAAAAGGTATGTTCATTCCTCTCCTTCCACATATAGTAAGTCTAGTTTGTTTGGATGAAAAATATTTTTTAAAGAATATTTTTTTATTTTCTGGTGTAGGTAAATATTTACTAAAAAAAAAATATTAAAATTTGATAAAAATAATTTACCCATCAGTTTTCAGCAAGTCATTTTACAAGCTACAAAGAACTTAGCCTCAATCTCGACTTATATTTTCGCCAAACACGAAAAAACAAAAATAAAAAATATTTTACTAAAAAAAAAAAATCTTCTTCAAAAAATATATTTTACGTTGAGCTTACATCCGCGCACCAAATCATAACTTGTATGTGAGCAAAGTGAAAGACTTGTATCCATCCTTCCAAACACTAGGAATCCACATTGCAATGTTAGATAACACATGATCACCACAATAAACACCACATTTATGCTGGAAACTCTCCCCCACAGTTCTAGAATACTGACATTCAAAAAACAATTATGGGATTCATCTTCTGCTGAACACAACAAAATGTTAAATATTTTTCTTGCATAATATACGGTTTTAACCTTAATTACATTTCTCTTTATTGTTCTACATTTGTTTGAATTTTTTAGTACCATTGGCATAATAGATAGATGAATTAGTCCATGGTAATTGGGCGTTTATGAGTCTGTAAAAAAAAAAAAAAAAAAAAATAGTTGGTCCATTCTCAACCTCGGTAAAGTCCATCTTGTTGTGATAGAAATGAACAAGAACAAATAAGTTTTAGCTAATGTAATAAAGATGCTAATTATTGTTTCAAAGACTATACCCGCTTTATTTATTTCAAAAAGCTCAGGAAGAAACTAGTAGATTTAGAGAGGAAGTAACTTAAAACAAACCAAATTTGATACTTGAGTATTCGGATATATCCGAATTAGGAATTTAATGATTTTTTTTTTTTTTTTTTTTCATACGTTTTATGCAATATTTCAGGTTTATAATGTGAATTATTACCCTACACATATTTGATAAAAAGCATGCTGATTCCATATGAATTGCTTATGAGATATGCTTGATCCTGTGTTTCTTCCTTTCTCTATCAGAATTTACTTTTCAAGAATGGTACATCTAGAACTGTTGCATCGTAATTGGGGCTATAACAAGCAAGAACAAAGAGTCATTGGCCTCAAACACCAATAAAAGTGAATGTATTTTCAAGTTCTGAAAATGACAAAGTAGAGAGAGGTTGAGAACACATCCAAACAATAATCTCGCACTGAAATAAAGAAAATTGCAATAGTGTTTTCATTTGTATCTTTAGTTTTGTCAAAAAAGTATTCTTTATTATGATGTAATAAGAACATGTTACATTTTGTTTAACCATAATTATTTTAGTGTGTTGTGTTGCAAAAGTTATTTTAATTTTTAATTTTGGATTTTTGAGATTATACAACTTGAATAATTTCTAGTAACACTCAATTTGTTGCATTAAACCAGTAGCAAGCGAGAGATATATATATATATATATATATAGTGTATTTTTCTGGCTTTTCATATTCATAATGCTTTTCAAATTAGCAATTTAAAAGTTGTGTAATCCACAATCCCCTAAATCAATCATTTGCAATGAGTGCATCACATCTGCAGCTCAACGTCACAATGAATTTCAAACAAATATGATTTAATAGCAAACTATTTTTTAAATCAAATACATTTTCAAATTGTACAGTTCTGAAAATTATATAGGTAAGCAATGACCTCACCTTGCTTTACTCAATTTACATCAATCTTTAACATCCAATTAACCTTAAAAAACTATAACAATCCTAATAGAGAATTTGAACAAAATACCAAAATCTATTGTTGAATGTATAAAGAAAAAAAGTTAAGTAGAGTTTTTTTTTATTGTACTAGACATTATCCATAGGGTAACAAATAAGTTTTTGTTTTGATGGAGATATGTGGAATAGCAAGTGGAATAATACATTCTTTCACTCCTAGAACTTGTTACGCTCACTTGATGGTTAAAAATGACATCCATTAACTATTTATAGTTATCCTACAAACTTTCTAGAACATTTTTCACAAAAATTTACTAATTCTATAAAATTCTGTACTCATCTAAAATCTTCTTTACACTCTATTCTACTAATACCATTGCATGAGTAATCCATGTAGACGACAAGAGCATAGATGGCTTGACGGAATCTCTGGGGGTGTGATATATGGCAAGCTAGCTACTACTCTGATCAATTGATCTAAAATTCTCATATGTTACAAATTTGTGACATTGCATAATGAATTTTAATCTGAAGGTACGTATGTATGTCAGTACAATAAATGCTGAGCTATATGAAATGAGTTTATAAAGAATAATCTATGTCTCTGTCCATTTTACGCTCTGCTAGCTCTTTCCTTTTCAATTTCTTGATTAAAGGAAGTAGAGCACTTGCACAAATTGCAACAAAATTTTTATCATAATAATATGAATAGTGATTTAAGAATAGAATTCTACCTTAATTTAATTTATTTGAATAAGGTGGTAATTCCATCATAAGATGTTATGTGATGGGACTTACAATCAACGTAAATTTAATAATGAGTAAAGATACATTGTCGCATTTTTTGGCCGAAAAATTGTTCAAATATTACGTGGCGTTGATACTTGTTGACTCAATTACTGACTTATCAAAAGACTATTTTACCCAAAAAAAAAAAAACCATGGTTTCAGAGTCCTCATCTTCCCATCTACCTATAGTTTTTCTCTGTCATATTTATTCAATCTCAGTGAATTTCTCTCCTCCATATCTTTGTTTACTTTGTTTCCCCCTCTCCAACCCCACAACCTCTTTGCTTTCCTGTTGTCTATTTTTCTTGGAGAAGAACTGCAAAGCATTGCACAGTAAACCATGACACAGGCCCATTTTTTTTTTCACAAAATCTACATGAGTACACTGAGTACAGCATTGCACAGACCCAATTACCTTAACAAGACGAAGTTTAAAGATGAGGGCTCATACGAGAGAGGTGCGAAATCAAAAAGAGTCAGAATCGGAGAAAAATATAGTAACAAGAGGATTATATTTGTTGGAAGAAAAAAAAATCAAGATTTCTTCACTGAGTTATTTTTTTATATTTTTTATTTGAGGCAAGTCAGAAAGATTTCATTAACGAAGGGTTACAATCTAAAAGCATAGAATCCTTACAGCAATGGGAATTACATCACCAGAAACCATCTTTTGTTTGAGTAGCAAACCATTTTCTTTGGGTTTGATGAGTACTCTTTATTTTTACAACATTTATTAAATTGGGTTTTGATAATGGTGGTGGTGGATTCTATATGAAGATTATTGTCACTAATGATACATTGTTATTCTTGATGATTTTATTTGATTGTTGAAGATTGGATAGGTTTTCAATGTGTTCCTCTTCCGATGACCATAACGGTCAATTACAGGTCCGACGGAGATGGGTATGTTG